TGCATACGAGGTCAGCCAGAGTGAGCTTGATATTGAATTAGTTTTTTGCCTCTCTGCATGCTTTACATTTTTCTTTTATCACTAGCTGCTGTTTCTTATCTCTAAGCCCCTTTGCAATCCAATTTTAATTGCCCTTTCTCAATTACAATATATTACAGCTACCGACCTTGGAGATCCTTGGTGCTAATGCCAGGAGCTCTGGAGCTGAAAGCTTGCAGGGGGTTAACGACATTACAAATATTTCTGTTTTGGGCATTGGGTAGCCTCAGGCATCCACACAATAGTATTTCCTTGCCTCATTGACCCTAACAAGGGCAAATATAGTGGGGAGAGTTCTTAAGACCCTACTGCAGAGAGTAAGTGAAGGGATGATACAGCCCCTCTGAAAGCCACTTTTATTCTTTTCTGTTGTTTCCATCTACTTTATCACTGCTTAATGCATTTAAAATCAACATTACAGCATGAACTATAAACATTTATAAAAATTTCTACTATTGAAGCAACCAGAAGCCAAGAACCAAAAACAGGTAGACTGGCAATGAATCATAAATCAGATGTGTATACATAATTTTTAAAGCAGCTTATGGATCTGTACTGGATAAGGGAGGGGATGTTATATAACAAGAGCTATTCCTCTAGCAGCCTGCTATAATCACATTCCTGTGGCTGTAAGAGAAAATGTGCCAAAACAAGTCTGAGTCTTTCGGAGGCAGTGCTTGCATTTTTCTTTTCCCTTCTCTTGGAGTGACCACCACCCAGTTCATTAGGTGTTGCTGCCTTCGTATTGTTGCATACAGTTGCCCAGTTGAACAGGAGCATAGATTATTACAAGGTCCAGGGGCAGATCAGGAGGAGGTGGGGTGTAGTGTACACTTGCATACCCCTTTTGATTCTTGCTTTACCCAGACTGCCTACTGACTGGCAGTAGTAGTGGCATTTCTATTCAGGCAGTACTGAGAGAGTCAGTTGACTTCATGGCTCATTATAATCTACCCTATAACTGCTAATCTCTCTTCACTCCATGAGCCTCTCTCCTTTTTAATGGTCTTGATGTTCTGCTATTCAAACCATCTGTTCTTCTGCAATTTTGCTATTTGTTACCCATTTCTGGTGATGTCTCTGTTCTATTTCCAAGCCCTGCCAATTTGTTTCTAGCTGAAATCCTTAACTCGGGTGTGATAATATTAACTCCAGATGTAGAAATGGCTGACAGTGAAGTGCTGGAGGCACTCAAGAAGACCAGATTTTGTTTTACAAATCTGAATAAGAAATGTACTTTTAACTATAAAGACTACAGGACTATGAAACAATATCTTCTGACTATTTTTGCCTAATTTGTTGTGTAAGTTGTATATAATTCAGCTAGTTAGTGCATATTTCAATACATTTATATTTGTTTTTGCTTTGATCTTAAACTGAATAATGTAATATTAGACCCCTAGCATACCAATAAAACTCCTAGTTTCTGTTTAATTGGAGAAAAATGTGTCATATATGACAATGTGCCACACCATTTGCACCCCCTTTTTCAGAATCCTAGATCAGACTGTGCAGGTCCCTGGAAAAGCTAATTTCTAGCTATCTGTTGACATTAATTTCTGCTAACAGTAAATTCAGTGATTTACAAATATAATTATATACAAGTCATCAGTGGGCAGAAATGCATTGTTATTAGTGTATTAGTGATTTGCAAGCTGATTTAGAGAGAGATGGTCATCTTGTGTCTTTTGAATTGGACCAATATCAAAATATTTCTGTTTCTACAGGAGTGCCTTTTAAAATATTACCTTCCTTCTCTGTTTCTGACTCACGCATGCATGTTCACACAAGATTGTAAATACACCACTAGTTTCAGTACTACTTTTACCTTTTCATAATGAAGTAAAAGACCAATTAAGAATAATGCTAAAAAGTGTGTGTGTGTGTGTGTAATGCCCCAGAAGATAGGAACTTTCTGACTTATTTCATGCACATCTGTGTGATTTGTCACCATACACATTTCACTCTTTCCATGCAAGTATTTCATTGCCTTATCTGGTACATGAGGTTAATGTATGAAGACATGCTAGCTCTGGAGCTAATGACACTTGGATAATTGCTACCATGTGAGATTGTCTTGTGATGTATTGGTCAAGTGTGCTTTCAGAATGCAACTGGAATTCTTATATAAAATCACAAGGCTTTCTTTTCAGCTAGTATATTATAGGATTGCATTTCTCTCTTTCCAAGTGTAGTTTGTGAGCCATATCAATTGGCCTGTCAGCAAGCTCATTTAAGCTGATTAATTATGGTAGCCAAGACATCAGTTTAGAACAGGTCAGAATTGTGTGTTATGTCTATAAATGGAAAACTTATTATGCAGGCTTATTCTTAATGCTTGGAAGAACAGAGCTGCTTTGATGTATTATTTGGCTTTTATCTGTTTTATGAAATTCTGCTTTGTCAGCCTCTGGACATACATTTCAATGGCTTGCTTTACTTCTGCCTGCATTTTTTTTAAAGGGTGGATGCACAGCAGACTCTTATGAATAAAATGGAAAACATGCTGTGTGCACATATTGAAAGTGCATCTAAAAATTGACTGTTTTGGTGGGGCTTTTAGGGTTTATCCCATCCATCTTTTTTATTTTTTTTCATTCCGACTTTTCTAGTTTGTTCGGTACTTGTGCAAGGTGCTATATTGACACACCTGGAGTCTAAACTCCGCTAGCAGACTATATCCAGATTAAAATATAACAAGCTTTCCTCCTTATGTTTTAGTGGTTACAACTGTAAATAAACACTATGCATGGTATTATATGTGCACACGTATTTTGCACAGGCGGATAAAAATATAAATATTTTAAATGTGTTTTATTGCTTTTCATCTGTAGCTATCAAAGCACTTTACATAGGTGAATAATGATTATTATTTCCATCTTATTGATGGAAGCATAGCTTAGAAGCTATTCATTTGCATTCTAGATATTAAACTCTTGTTTTAAAATTGTACTTTCAGGTACTATTCCTGCCCTAGTCCTCTTACCAATTTTTTGGTGTTGGTGACATTTTCCTTTCTGTGTTTCTTTCCAATTTTGCTGTGTTAATTCCACCCAAATGTATTGCAGTAACTACATAGTTGATTACTTAGTGAACTATTTTTTCAGCTTTAAAAAGCAAGGCATAAATTATATACTTACAGAAAAGGTTAATGTGCAAACGAACGTATGTCTCTTCAGAATTTTTACTCTGTTGTAACTGAAAGAGTTTAATCATGGGTGTTAAATTCAACAGAAGGAAGTTTAAAAAAATAGGACATGACTTAATTGTGGTGTTCCTAGAATTAACTTTCCCAAGGTGACTTAGGCCGCGTTTACATAAGATGTTGACTGCGCAGTAGCTCGTTACGACCGCACAGCAGTGTCGCACAGCATGAAGCATGACGTGATGCTACTGCGCAGTAGCAACGAGTTACTGCAGAGTCGGCACCACCAAGAAACCGTTCAGGGATGCTGCTGCGCATTAATGCCAGTTACAGCACAGTCATTTGATGCTTGGGTATGTAAGTACCAAATGACTGTTCAGTAACAACTGTGCAGTCACTCTTCTGTAGACACAACCTTGGTGATTAATTGGTAATATTAGGAAAAGAGCCCAGATCTGAATTTTATTCCACTCCCCCACCCCCCAAATTGAATCTACTTGGATCATAACTTCACCGTAGTTGTGTAAAATTAAACGAGTGGAAAAGACCAACAAAGAGTTTTGATTTAACTGAGATTTTGAGGGTGTACATTGGTGTAGAACACTTGGCAATTCTTTTTGGACATCTTGACTCATGAAAGAACTGTGCATAAATGATGGTATTTAGCAAAAATGAAAACGTGTAGGTAGTTTCCTGTCTTTTGAATTATTTCCCCAAAGACCTAGGATTTGTGTGTTGAGGATGTGGTGTTTTGTAGCCAAATGCATCAACAAATCCTGGGGAAGGGTCCTGACAATGTATCATTAATGCAGAAGTCATTTCTCTCAGTTTACTTTCCTTACTCAGCAGCTGAAGGGCCCATCCAGAGCTCCAGCTACTTTAATAAAATTGGCAAACATTACAGCACAGTTGATAAAAGGCTCATCTTATAATTCTAATGCTGCAGCCTACAAAGAACAGAAAGCCCATGTTTAATCCTGGGAAAAAATGCTTTTTGTAACATTTATTTATTGTATTTGTATCTAAAATATGGACAGATCTGGATTCTTGCACATTGGAGGATTAGAGTGGTAACAAATTTGTTTTCACAATGCCATTCTTTTTAAAGCCTTATCAGATAAGACATTATGTAAGACAGGATTCAGATACTCTACAAAATGTTAATTTAGTTAATTTTGTTCTGCTTGGCAATATGGTCCTGTCGATGGAAAATATTGTGACCAAGAGTTAAGGACAAATTGTTTCTGTTCCTGACTAATCTCACTGAGTCTTGCTGAGAGTTTTGAAAAACAACTAAATTGCTCTGTGTTAGCATCCCAACTGCAAAATGGGATTATTACCTTTGTAGCTGTTCAGAGATCCTTAAGAGAAAGATGCTTACCAAGTGCAAATATTTTTTCAGCTCTGCAATTTTGGATAGTTGTCACTGGGTGGCACTATATCAAGCTCTGTATCCCTTTGTTTACTGAAGTGTTAAATTGAAAAGAGGCAGTAAGATAAGGCTGTATGACACTACGTTCACTTAAGCGGGATGTCAGGGACCGATAGCATTTTCCGGGTCTGGAGGAATCCTAGAGAAGTATGGCTGGAAGGGGTCATGTATCCAGTCACCTACCTGAGGCAGAACCATATCTATCCAAACCACCCTATACAAATCTATAATCTAATCTTTAAGAAAACTACACAGTCAAGGAAATGGTTTATTTTTTAAAGAAAATTACTCGGGGGGGGGGGGGGAAGAAAATGAAATTTGTTTTTCACTGAATTAAAATCTTCATTTTTGTTTATTCAGAGGATCTTTTTATTTCATCTCTAGGAAAGATTTGAAGCACTTTTCACAATCTATGACAACCAAGTTACATTCCAGTTGTTCAAAAGCTTCAGAAGAGTAAGAATAAACTTCAGCAATCCAGAGGCAGCAGCCAGCGCCCGGCTCGCACTCCCCGCGCCTGACTTTAATGGAAAAAAGCTAAAGCTTTATTTTGCACAGGTATGATGAAAAATAAAACATGGTCTATAGGTTTTCGTTTTTCTGCTCTCTTTTGTATTGAGCCGTGGCCTCATCCCCGGTAGAGTTCAGAAGTGACCTCTGATATCACACATGTTGTCCTCTCTGTTTTAATGGACATGCACGCATCAGGGTCTTTTTTCTTTTATTTTCCCCATAGCTGCAAATCCTACAGATCCATAATTGGCTGCTAGGATCACTCTTACGTGGCAAAAAGTTCCCCACTAGTCTCAGACAAAATGTACTCCTTTTCTTTGAATGCATTCCAGAACCTCTTCTCTGCATATCCTGTATTTGTTTATGAATTTTCTGTTGGATTATGGCTCAGCATGTGATATGTATGGTGCCAAGGTCATTGTCACCATAAACAAATAATAATGGAAAGAGGTTTGGGAAAATATTGACATTTGAGGAAAAAAGCACACATTGTGACTACGAGAGACCTTATCCTGTTGTATTGTCTTAAAGAAAGTGGGATAAACTTTTGTCAGTTGTAACTTTTGAAGCTAGACTGGATTAAATGCTAGAAATATAATATGAAGAACCATCCTACATGGTCAGGGCAATGCCCCTACTACTATAGTCCCAACCTTTTTTGGCAGGCATGCCACAAATTAACCCTGCACCCTCCCCAAGTGCCATTCTGATTCTTTTCCCTTGCCTCATCTGCTGCTCTGCTTTCTGCTCCCTGCCACTGTGCTTTCTGTCCCCTGCCACCTCTGGACTAGATCATCTAACAGAGAAGAGACCTGATGTTAGTGGTGTTATCATGGTGGAATTTAATTCTTTAGGTCCAGATGTCCAGCGAAGTGGGAGACAAATCCTATCTCCTTCCACCACAACCTGTCAAACAGTTCCTGATATCACCACCTGCATCTCCACCAGTTGGATGGAAACAGAGTGAGGATGCCACTCCTCTTATAAACTATGACTTGCTTTGTGCTGTTTCCAAATTGGGGCCAGGTAAGACTGTTACCTAGTATTTTGTTGTTCACCATCACTAGTGTAACTAGAAAAACTGTGGCATACAGGTGCACACCTCCCATGTCCCTACAGGGTTACTTGTTCAAATAAAATAGTTTATTACCTCTTTTGCTGGATTGCCAGTTCATTTGAGAGAGTTTAGCAGTGGATTTTGATGCTCTTGAGTTTCTTCAATTTTGCTATGGAAATATCTATGTATACTTTACATAACAAAAAAAAAAAAAAAGGTGGGGGGAGAGGACAGGAAAAGGGAGGAAGGTTTATTCAGTTGGAATTCCCTTTCCAGTTAGTAAGGTACCAGTCACTGCAGTATTTAGTTCTGAACGCCATGCATTTAAACTATCAAATCTTCCATTTGACCTTTCCAAGAGCTTTTCTTTTTGTTCTCCCCTAAAAATGGAAACTCTTTTTTTTTTTAAGTACAGGGCATGATATGCTCTGACCTTTTAACTTGTTAACTGGATACAGCAATAACACTGCTTACCTTGTGAGCTGTGAATTGAGGCTTCAGGTTTGCAAAGCACTTTTCATACATTATTGAAGATGCTGAAGAAGTTTGCAGGTTAAATTGTATCATTTCAAGTTTTTTTTACACCATTTAAATAGAACATGGTCAGCTATGCATTCTATAATGCTGCACATACTTCAGAGGAGCAGATGGCAACTAATTTGTAAATAGTTACTATTAGTATTCAAAGAGTACCATGTACCATATACACTGGAAGTATGTTTCAAACCATGTCATGCTAAGTGTTAAATGACTTGTAGAAGGGGACCAAATTGAAGATGAGAAGGAATTAAATTGCTTGCTGGTAGCATGATTCAGTTAATATTCACAGTAATAATGTTTTAAGTAAAAGTTATTTAGGAACTTTTTTTTTCTGGGGGATGTTGTTGCAATAACGTTTTCCTTTTTTATATTCTCCAGGGGAGAAATATGAACTTCATGCAGGAACAGAGTCTACTCCTAGTGTAGTTGTCCATGTTTGTGAAAGTGAAACAGAAGAAGATGATGACATGAAAAATCCCAAACAGAAAATCATGCAGACAAGGCGCCCAGAACCACCTCAGACAATACTAAATGAATCTAAAACATTTGATTGTACACCAGAGGTAGGGGGTATCATGCACCGTTAAGATCTTGTGGTGATATAAGCAGTGTCTGTAATGAGATGCTAAATTAAGATGTGTATTGATGTCTGCATTGCTGCATTATATATGGCAGTGGCAGATTTTACTTGTAGGTAGTTCTCTCTCATGTTAAAGATTTTGGATGCCAATATTTCAAACAGCACTTTAATTTTAAGGACTAACTCCCCCAAATGTAGCAAAATCCACTGAATTTAAAATAGTGACAAAATAGGAGGTTTTTCTTGATATTGTGTAGCATGGTGCACTAAATGCTAAAACAATATCTTAAAGTAACCATCTGTATATTATTTTCAAAATAGTTTGTTGTATAGTAATCAAATGTGGCTATCTTTTGTATGGGGTGCACTGATAGAGATTTTGGGGGCCGATACCAATAGCCAATTTTTAAGGAGGCATATTGGCCACTACCAATCCAATTTCCAATATGCAGCCCAGCAGCTTGAAGAGCTGCATGCGGCTGGTAAGTCTGTTATGATGGAAGAAGTGTGGGTGGGGGGTAGATTAAGGACACTGCGGTGAGGGAGGAGTGGGACAGGCTGGGGTATGTGCTACCCAGCCAGGGCAGGGTGCAGGATGGAGCCATGGCTTGTCTGAGGGGGAGGGGTGTCTCCTTCCGCTGCGCGCACCCCGGGAAGACGCAGGAGGCACGTGCCCCTGAATTGGGGTGGGGTGGGCTGCAGCTGAAGGCTGGGACTGGGGCAGCGCCATCACCAGGCTCTTCCCAGCGGGGGCTGGGCTGGGCTGGGCTGGGCTGTGCTTGGGGTGTGCAGCAGCAGCACTAGGAGGGGAGCTATGTGGTGGGGAGCTCTAGCCACCCTAAAATTTGCTGTAGCCCTCCTCCCAGCACCACCACCCAATCAAAGCACAGCCCCAGCCCCAGCCTGGAGCTGCAGCCCAGCCCACCCCATCCTGTGCAGGTGTGGGGGTACATGTGCCCCCCCATGCCCCCGTGCACTCCCAGGGTGCGCTTAGCAGCAGGAGCTTTCCCCCGTCCCATGGCCCCTGGATGAGCTGCGGCTCTGTCTTGTACCCTGCCCTGCCCTGGCTGTGCGGCACCTACCCCAGCCCCACTCTCTCCCTTACTGCGAGGGCCTTGATCTGCCCCCCATGCCCCTGCTCTCTCCCCTCCACTTCCACTACAACAGACTTACCAGCTGCATGCAGCTCTTCAAGCTGCCGGACTGTGCTCCTCGCTGCCTACATGCTGTGTTGCAGCTGCCTGCATGCACGGGCATTTATCCGCCAAATTATCGGTCACATCAGGCTGATTTCTGATTCATTCAATTTTCTTTATATCAGTGCCGATTCGATATCGGACCAATGTATCGGTGCACCTCTACTTTTGTACTAGTACAACAGCTTCAACTAATATATTGAGTATATGTAAGTGTAATATACAGTGTATGCTGAAATTCCTTTACAGGTAGTAGTCTGTTTTGGGATGAATGAGAGCAGACTGATCCATTTGTGAACCTGTCCCATTTATCTTTCTCAGAAATGCCAAATATTGCTTTTTTTTAAAGGTACCTGTATGATTTGACACAAGGGGCACATACCTGTGCAGAATTACATGCATTTATGGTTCTGCTAGTTACTCCTAAAAAAACAAAAGGCAGATGGGAACCACTGACCACTTAGGAGGTAGATTCCTGACAGCATCTGCCTCCAAAGCTGCTGCTGTAGTATGATGTTACACTGATTAGGATTGTTTGCACTGACAGTTAAAACAGAAAAAAAGTGGAGTAGGTAGAGTGAAACATGGTTTCAAGTATTGAATGTTAAATCTCCAGCCTTCTCTAAAAATGTTATAATATTCCCCTCTATTCTGGAGACTGTCTAATCTAATGATCTCTGTATTTACATATAGTGTACGGTTAAATGGTGTTCAGGAGTATGAGGTCCAAGATGAGTTTTTACTTGAGGTTTTAAAGCTTGCTTCCTTTATATATTTCTTTTAAAGACAGTCAGTTGCCAGGGTGGCTTAGCTAGTCCCCACCCTGTTTTTATGCAGTTTAACCCAAATTTACATTTTTTATTAAAACCATGGTATTTTTCATGGCATCCTGTATGTATGATAACACATCTGTGACTTTGGAGATAGGATGCGTCTTTTAAAATGGACACCTGTGGTTTAGTGAATTTGTGTTAAGTATTTCATTAGGAGGAAATATGCCTCAGTATAGTGGCACATGCTCCTATAGTTTATGCTCTTTTATAAACAACCTTTTTTTAGTCTACACAGATTCTTCTTTTTTGTATTAAAAAAAGCTAAATTATTTGTGAACAAACTAAGCTACTTGGGTACCTATTTGATTTCTGTACATAAATCACTCTGAAATTGGCCTTTTCCTGATCATTTAATATGTTTCTTTTTTTAACTCTGTATAAAGTGCTTATTGAACTCTGCAAAGTATTTTGACTTGATTGTCAGTGAAAAAAAATTAATGGTGATGAATTGGTGTTGGCGCAGTAGATAAAAGCTTGGTATTGTGCCAGCTATTGATCTTGTCTTGCCATCAGCTTCAGGTTGCAAAATGGGATCCTGCAGGCAGGTCCTCATTCTGGAGGCAGGAATCACAGATTTAAAAAAAAACCAGGAAAAAAATCTATCTTCTTGTGTCTTACCTGCATTAGGCATACATTTATGTGACTAGCTGATGAGCCATTCAGAGTCTGACTTTTCTTTTCCACAGTGCCCTGTCCACCCATACGGTTTCAATATCATCAGTTCAATTTTTGTGCACTTTAAAATGCCAGGAATTCATTGTGGACTTTGTTGTGTTACATTTTTGTTCATTGTTCAATTTCTTCCCCATTGTAAACGTTGATATAAGTAGGATAAAGTGGAAAAACTTCAGAAACTCAGTTTTATAAAACAGACTAATTCAATCATGTTGTTGTGAATGTATCTTGTATAAAATGTATGACAGTTTGTGTTTCAACATAAAAGATTCATTGTGTAAAAAGTCATAAAATAAAAATAAAGCAGTGCCATTCAGATACTTTCCACTAACTGTAATAGATACGTGCCCACTTGGAATATGTAACTTTGTCTTTTTTTAGCTGCTAGTAGTCTAACAATTATGCATATTTAAGGGTTTTGTGTTGTGATAGGTTTTCCTGTTAGCCAGATTAAAAGCAAATGAGGAGTGAAAAAACATTTATTGACTTCAGAAAATTGCCTTGAATTCAGTATAAAATTGTTATGCTTTGAAAGCGCTGAACTCCTTAATAAAACTGCCAGGGAACATTAGTAGCCTGTTAGTGCATACCTTCACCCATTTTTAACCCAGGAAAAATTGTCTAAAGCATATGGCAAATCTTTTCCTGTGATGATGTATCTTTTTACCCCAAAACTGGAAACTCTGCCAATATCCCATTTCCTCGTAGTTGATGAGAACGCTCTTGGAAAACGTGTAATCCTTGTTGTGGTGGTATTTTAATTAAATGCTGTTTCTTCAGCTGGGTTGGTCAGGCAGGCCGATACTTTTGTTTGCAGCAGAATTCAAGGTAACTTTCTGTCTGCTGTCAAAGTTCAATGTCTTCCATCATGATTGTGGAAAATAAGTTATTCTTAAGATAACTGTAGAAAGAAAAGAGATCATGGTGGAAGATATGAAAAAGTGCATCTTATCAGGCAAGCCAAGATGCTTTTACACCAAGTCTAAAACACCTGTTGGGTATGTAATGTATACTTCCATTGGCATTGGTTGACATTGCCGTACTTGGACTAAATCCATCTTGTTAAGCTCATGAGTATACATCCAGTAAAGGTCAATCATTTGGCCTGGGGACCTACTAGTAAGCCATATGCTCTGTGTATTTGGTATAGTATATCTAGCTTAAGAAGGATTCGCATTGGAAGCCTAAAATGCCCTGTAAATTAGGACAAATTCATTCCCCAGTACAGCATTATCCAACAGTGGTGTTTCACCAAGACTTAGCTGGACCCTATCTATATTGAATGCTGTTCTGATCATCAGTCAAGAGGATTATTAAGTTTGATTGGGAGTCTTGAAAATGGGTTTGTATCTAGAAAAAAAAATAGGTTCCTGTCCAAAAGTTCTGAGTACCCCAGTACCAGTTACTAAAATAGAATTAAAGAGCAACTTAAACCCAACAGACCTAAATGTCTTGCACGCTTCCTCCTTTCAACCTCTACCCTGGGAACGTATTCCTATCAAATTTTCCATTTTACAGCACCTCGAGCCTTTGAAGCATTTTATCCCTCGTTGTGGCTTGTGTGATGCCTGAATTGAGAGTGAGCCAAGTTAATTGAAAAATGGCCTCGTCTTTCAGAACATGGGGGGGGCTCTTTAACACTTCAGGTTACTCTTGGTACATATTCCTAAACAGTGGAGGCAGCAGCTGACTTCATTATGCTAATGGTAAAGTGCTTGATTTAAAGCATATTGACTACTCTTGGTAGCAGTCAGATTGACCACTTAACTTCAAAGAGAGCTCTCGCTGTCCTGTAGAGTTAGTCTAAGAGAATGAGACATGGTTGGAGTAGACTTATTAAGTCACATCCTTAGCTGGTGTAAATCAGCACAGCTCCATTGGTAGTGGAGCTGTACTGTTAGCTGAGAATCTGATCCATCTACAGGGTGAGCACACTTGAAAGTAGTTTTAGTTTCTGTCTTCACCCTGCAAAAGTAACTGCTAGAAAATATGAACACTTGTTGAGGCTTACTGAGTGGTGCGATGCATTTTAGTGTCTCAGCATGGGAAATGCACTTCTCATCTGGCTTTGATGCCAGTAACTAATTAATTGTAACCTGCATAATTCATGCAATAAATTCACCTTTCTTCTTTTCTTCTCTTCAGCACCTGGGACTCGCTTTCAATTTTTGTTTGGCATTTAATGCAACAGACTACATATGTTTTGTAAGAGGCAATGCAAGTGTCTCTGTTTAAATGTTGACTTAGGATTGACTATAAAGAGAATCTGATCTATTTTGACACCTAAATGTTGCAGTAAAAAGGACTGCACTTGAGAATCAAGGGAAATATGATAGTTGAAGAGCTGCTCTCTGTTATAATTGGTTCCTGCTTCCTGCTGCTTGACGGGAAAGTTCGCAGCTTCAGGAAGGATTGTAGTCAATTCTCCCCGTCGACCCATGACGTTCTTGTTTCTATTGCATTTGATTTCTGCATGATTTGGTTTGTCTGAACCTTCCCTTGCTTCCATGTTGGTGTGCAACCATTTATTCAATGATGTTCTTCATTAATTGAGAATATAATCCTTTTTCCTAGATGCAGATATTTATGTATGTACTGTCTTGTCGTGTACGTTACCATTTGTCTGCTCTGCCTGCTACGTGGTATTTCTCAGTATTTGTAAGGCAGAATGCAGTAACGTGCTCTCCATCTTCTGTTGGACTCAAAGTAACCATTCAGCCTGGCCTTGCCGTCTTGGCATTGCTCTGATAACATGGCATGTAATGTTCTGTGAAGATAGCAAAGCAGAATGTGTTGTTTGGAAACTTGGGATTCCTGACAAATGTTTTGTTTTTCAAAATTGTAATGAATAAAGTTACTTTCTTTAAAAAAAAAAAATAAAAAAAATCAACATTTGTACTCACAGGTGCATGACATTGCTGGTTTCCCTGCATCAGACAGCTTCAGGATTAAGTATCAGCGTTGTTTCCATATTGTGTTGCTCCATAAGTGTACCTCTTGTGCAGGTGCAGCAGCTGGAATGGATAACCTCTTTTTAGCTGCTAAAGGAGGAAGGAGAGTGCAGTAATTAGGGCATTCGGTTCACATTGCCTTTATCACTGACTGAGAGAGAACTTTGGCAAGTTACTTAGCTTCTGTCCGGTGTTGGTGAAATGGGGAAAATAGCGCTTAACCTCAAAAGGCTTCTGAGATCATGAACGTATTCAAGATGGGGTGGGGCTCAGATTACTGTACTAAGGAACATGTAAATGCTATTGACAGGGTAGCATTCTGATATGGGAATGCTGAGGGTAATCTGTCAAACTGTTAATATATGGGAAAGGCTCATAAAGGTTTGGATACCTTTATTTTAATGTCTGTATAAATAAATAAAACATGCACAATTGTAGATATTAAAAGGAGCAAGAAGCAGCTCTCGGCCTAGGTGGGTTGAGGACTCATTTACCCGCACAGGTGCGGGGTGACATTGAAAAGGAACGGGAGGCTGAGGAATCATTGGGTCTGGCTGGACTGAGGTGGGGGGCTGGAGGAGAGAGGTGATAATCTGAAGGATTGAAGGGTTGTGCCTGAATGCATCTTGTTGAGGATACACCATGATCTATCAATGGTTTGTTCTTCCTGTGGGCCTGGAGGTACCAAAATGGGGTTTTCCTGCTTCATTCCACTGGCCCTTGGTCTTTTGTTGAGCCCTGTGGCCAGAGAGCTGGGACAGGTTAGGTAGCATCATTCTTTTTGTGCAAATTAGATGCTCCTGAGAGTGATAGAGATTCAGGTTCCCTTTTCTTTAAGGGTATCAAAACTAGTGCTCTCAAGGTACAATGGTCCATGAGGTTGAGTGAGAACCACCCAAAGCTTTAACCTCAGGTGGGGAACAGCTGGGGCTGGATGGCAAGAACTGAAGGCCCAGGCAACTTGAGCAGAATATCCCACCATGTGCACACAGCCAGAGCCTCGGGGTCTAGAGGATGCTTGCTGGCTACAGGGTTCAAATTTAAGTTTAGTTTTGACCTTTTGATTTGATTTCACCTGTTCTGCAGCCTTTAGCAGCTGTGTGCTGGAAGTGGCTGGGCGAAAACATGCCGCTGTTATGGTTTTAATGATTTTTGTTGCCTGTGCTTAACAGATGGCCAGGGTGCTGAGAGCACAATAGATGGCCTTACATATGTCTCTAAGTCTGAATAAATAACAACAAGACAGAAATCTACTCGCCTCCAACAGAGTGAAGTTATTTCAGGTCGTGTGTGTTCCCCTGCCAATTTTTATGACTTCACAGCCACAATTAGCTTTTTTTCCCAGTGTTGCTGTTTGAAAAACCCACACAGGCAAAGGGAAGCAGACTGCAGTGATACTATCCACAAAGAGCTGTGATGGGTACAAAACCGGTATTTCCTCATCTCTCTTACAGTAATATCCGATCAGATATTGCTTGTGATAATAGAAAAGGAGGTTTGCAAACAGAATTGTGATAGTGTCCATTGCGTGTCTGGTGCTGCGGTTGGCTTTTTTTGTAGTGCAGTCATTTGCTAACTAGAAACGGTGGTATCAAAAGATGAAAATTCTCTGTTAGACTCGGTATTAACTGAGATGCTAGGGCACTGATTCTCAATCAGGATATCATGGGGTGCCACACAATGGTATCACTGTTAAGTTTACAAACAGGGCCCATGAGATTAACCCAGAGACATCAAATAGAAACCTGTAGTTGCGGTCTTTCTGGGTCTTAAAAACCTCCAGAACAGAATATTTGCTCTAAGAGCAGTCAAAAAAAAAAACAAACCCCAAGTGAAAATGAAGAGCTGGCATTTTCCAAGGGCTGCCATAAATCTAAAAATGTTGAGACCCCCTGGTCTAGGAATAGATCAAAGCTATATGAATGGGCATTAAAATTGAACGACGCTTTCCCTTGAATACACTCTGTAAAGTGTGTAGAGCTTCCTTTGCAGGTGTGCCAGCTTTGAGCACGAATTAATTGTTAAGTACCTAGTTCAGAAAATCTAGAAAAGAAAATAACTTGGACTTTCTCTCCCTCACCCATTGCCAGCTTCCATTTGCTGCCTAGGAAAACGTGGAAAGCAAATACCACAAGACTTTCTTGTGATGAGAACAGAAGAACGGTTTAGCCCACCAGGTAAAGGCAGTGATTCAGGTACTGTGGCCCCTCTGCACACACTGTGATACTGTCCCAAGGAAGCAAGTTGGTTCAAATGGACAAGTGTAATGAGTGTCATGTTTACGGCAAACAAAGCCAAATTAAATGTAGACATATATAGCAGTTAAAATTGTGTGGTTCAGCTTCACTTTAACACTTAAGGATATTAAGTTCTTGCTAACATCAAAATTATTCTCCTGCTAGGCCAGGGTTCTTTGTCTCCAGAACTTTTTCTGAACAACTGAACTCCAGAACAGAAACAAGCAAGCACCTTGCTGCACCCTGGATTTGCATCAGGATATTTGACTTTGCTCTGTCCGACTAACTCTTCTGACGGCACCAAACTGGCAGAGGCAGCTTTCCTATGGAAGGATGAAACCACACTGCAAAGGGATCCAGAAAGATCAGAACAGTGAAGACTGCACGTGATGACAGGAGACTCGTTCCTAATAAAGGTAGATCCTACACCTGAGAGAGAGCACAGATCTAAGCAGGGAGGAAGAAAGAAACTGTTGCCAAGTAGTTTCATCCATCGCATTCATGCATAAGTGGGAGTTGCAGCTCTTCTGCCTCCTTAATATTCCTTTTTTCCACTACTTCCATGTAACCAAGCTCCCCTTTGCTGTCAGGGGAAGGGGCAAGGTCCTGGATGGAGAGAATCACACTCGTAAGTAGATCACAATACAAGAGAACACAGGACATGATGTAGAATTGTCTGGGTGCTTTAAGGCCTTTGTATAGGGATGCAGAGCTCCTCTGAGCTACTGAAAGCACAGGCGCTAGAGCCCTGAATAAAGGATGCAGAGCAACTCTATCACATACTGCAAGGTGAGTGGTGTTAGATCCAGCTGGCTTGTGTTCCTCTGGTGGAGCTAGCAACTACATCAAAGGAGATCCTGCAGGGAATTCCTAGGAAGGAAGATGAGGCCAAGATTTCTTTAAATGCATCTCAGGTGACCAATAAAGAAGAAAGTTTCAGAGGCACAGATGACATTCCGGTTGACTTACAGGGGGAACGTGGTGTCTAATTTAGATTGTAAACGATTTGGGATGCAACTGTGTCTCTTACTGTACACAGTGCTTGGCACAAGAAGGTCACCACGTCATTTGGCTTCTAGGTGCTACAGTAACAGATGATAATAAATTGCCATTTTGGTCTTTAAAAAAATCTCTCCAAAGCCAAACTCAGAAAAAAGCTTTAATGATCCTTTCTTAAATAAATTTAAGATTTTTTTTTAATGAGCATTTTATTTTGAAGAAAGAAATAAAAACAAACAATCAAAATGAAGCATTTAAAAACATCCAGTTTTTCATGGTTTGGTCAGATTTGCTTTTTGACTTTGAACGTGTTTTTGGTGGGCCTTTTTGAGGAATAAAACTAATCTGAAAATGTATTCAGCAATCCTACTCATGTCCTTTGTAAAGCACTTGAAAATCTCCTGACTAAAAGGTGTTACATAAGAGCTGGGTGTCATTACGCTAGCTAATAAGTACTCAAAGCCTCCTGAGAATCAGATTTGCTTACTGATCTTAATAGAGCCATGATGAAAATGTAACCGCTCCAACAGAGTAGGGTGGAAAACGCAATTCATGTTAAAACTGGCAATGGAAACACAGGCCCTTAGCAGGACGCCCTGCTGTTTAGATGTATAGTATTTGCTTCCTGTGTACATTAAGAGATTTAGTTTTCAGTTCAAACATTTTTAATTCCATGTATTTAGTTGCACCAAATGCTTTCACCTTAATTGAAACTATTTAATAGTTTTGAAAACCAAAATGTTTCGTGTTAGCCAGCAGAGGGACCCCCTGCTCACAGCAACTGCTGCATTGGGTTAGCAAGATACAGACTTTAAGAGATGGTCTTGGCTTCAGGGTTTTCTTACTCGTGGAATTTCAAAATGGTTAAAAAGGGACTTTGGGGCCAGCTCCCTCTGAAGTTGAAGCTTCCTTGTCAATAGCCTTCTAAGACAAGACAGTGAAAAGCAACGCAGAGGCAGATGGCAGAGCCAGGGCTAGATCCCTTGTCTCCCTGATCCTAGAAACAAGGCCAAGCAGACTGCCATGTAGGCCAATAAAATTCAGACATGATTAATTATGCGTGTTCTGGTTTGATTATGAGTGTCTCCTCTATTTTGATCGTCCATTTTTTGCACTTGGCACACCTGCTAAAGTTAGAAAGGCTATTTTGGAATGAGTGGGTCTGTACAGGAACAGTCCTTTCAGATTACCCTGTTTTTGAGAAGCAAACCTGCTCTCCCATTCCCTTGAGGAATTATTTTCTTTATAAATAACTGCCCAACGTTTACAAAGTGTAGCTTGGGAGAAGGGGAAAAACAGCAGGGTTGGAGTTTTATTTACATTTTGTTAAAAATCTCTAAACGCGGACTCTGGATTCAGGATCCTACCCTTGCTGCTTCAGGGTCTAGTTCCAGCCTATGTCTGAGCCATCTCCCTAGAAAAGGCCTCGATCAGAAAACATCCTGCCCAACTGATTATTCCAAGGGAGGTTATGCTAACCCTTCCTTTCCCATCTCTCTTTTGATTTCTGGTGACTCTTGGGCCTTATCAGTTCACTCTCTTAGGCTTGTCTGGGCGTGTTTGCATGGACCACTTTAGCATATTGGAAACCTATGGTGGAAGGTGCCATGCTCCTGTGTGCTCCCTAATGTGGAAAGAGGTCATGGGGAAAATATGAAGTACTTGCTTTCTCCTTTGTTAATTCAAATGTGATGTGCACACCTGACTGGTTCTGTGGATTTTCATTTCTTCATGGGCCTTGATAGCACCCGTAATGTATCCTTCTACCTTCTCCATTCTCAGTACTTAAAAGCAGAGCTTGTGAGGTGCTGAAAATCATCCTCAACTGAACTTTGTGAGGGCACTATATAATGGAGAATAGGAACTTGTAATAATCACGAAACTTGTTGCAATACACAGTCTTCATTCTGTTCAAGTTTATTTCTGCTCTGCCCTGTGCCCTGCAGTTAGGTCAGGCATACTCGAAATCAGCATTACCCTTAATACACCTGATGCTCAAAACAGACTGGAAACTTGCTTGAAAGCAGAGGCATAATATTTATAAGTGATGACATGTACTGCAATTAATAAGCAATGCTTGTTCATTATGTCTGCTTACTGTCTGTAGTTAAAGGTAATACATTAATCTTAAGCAATTTAGGTACACAGAGAACAGTGCCTGGTCCCAACCTCAAGATGCTATGCACCCCCATGGAAGGCACTGTTGGGTCTGCGGTAGGAGCAAATGTTCAGCACTTGATGTTATTGGGCTGAATGTTTCTGAACAAGGGTTATGTTCTGTCTTATGCGCACGCACAACTCCCATTGACTTTGTTATGAATTGCTCTTGTGTATCACAAGACAGAGTTTGACCCTACTTAAAAACATCCCTAAGGCTACAACACCAAGTTTGACGCAGAGATTGTCCAAAGTTATTCTGGCATTGGCAGGCAATGGCTTGAGGATGAAGTAAATGACCGTGACAGCAGAGGTCCTGTCATGTCCCAATGTGAGTAGGCTCAGGTGATGATCAGTGTGTTGGCAAATGACAGAAGTTGAAGATGTATAATAACTTTGGGCCACGGACATGAGGATGTGTACTAGTTCTCTGTGTCATTTTCCTATGGGGGCTCTATATGTAGCTCTAGCAGAAATGGCTGTAGTATCATGTGTATAAAATGCATTTCAAAACACATTGTTGAGCTTAAATGACAGAAAAAATGGAGGACAGGAGAAATGAGAAACATCAAGCAAAGGGGCCTTGTCTACCCATACCAACTTTACAAAAATGCCAGAAATGGGGTTGTGAAGCTATCCTAGGAGAACTCTGGTGTGCTTGAGAGTGGATTTGGTACATGCAGAGCTGCAGTGGATGAGCCGGCACGTTCAAGAGCAGTGCCCCCAAGCCCACTGTGGAAGCTATACATACACACCCTTGTGCACTGTTCTCCAAGGACCAGCTTCACCCTTAGGCACAACTGCTACATCCTGGCTCTTGTGCTCTGGGTTGTGGGTCCCATTCTGCTGCTGACCGTTCCTGGAAATTTTTCTTTAGCCGAAACAATGAAGGCCTCCACTCTCGAAGGAGTCTTCCAGCTCCTCTGCAGTTCAGAGTGGGCACAGGTTCAGCCGCAGAGCACTATACTGCCACAAATGTGTTTGCGCTTTTTTGGTTGCCTGGATTCCCTCGTTGGTTTGTTGGACTGTAACGCTTTTGCAAATTTGCACGGTCATGATAGTGGCAATCAATTCAGATCTGTCTGACAGATCCTGGGGCAAGGGTTGTGCTAAATACCTGCTTCCTGTGTGTGGGGGGCGTTTCCCTCCGTGAGAGAGAAGTGAAATTTAGAACATCAAGGTCAAGAAGGTCTTGTTCTGCAAACTGTCACGTCAGACCCAGGAGCACAAGGTCCTGCACTGCGCTCAATTTTCTGCGTATGCAGAGCAACCGTATTTCAAAGGTAGGGCTGGGTCTTAGTTCTGAGAATTGGCTCTCTAGGAAAAAACCAACAGCAAATAAAATAGAGCGCTGTGCAAATATGAGAGGCTTGTAGGGCCTTAATGCCCTCCCAGCCAACCAGTACTGACCTATTCCAGAAATTATTCTCTAGTACCTTGACCAGGCTAATAGTAGCTCAGCTGTGGAGGTGGGTGGTGTTCTAACCATTGGCTTATCTGAACCTTCTCTGAACAGGGTTATGGAGCAGTGTGTTAAAATAAGGTTGGCCAGTAAACACGTGTGCTTGCAGCATATAGTTGCTGTAACAGACCTGGTACTGTCTTGGAATTTCCATTTCATGGGTAATTTCAACATTTTGAACTTTTGTTTCTTCTGTTGAATTTTGAATTAAAGCAAATGTAGTGTAGATTTCTTGCAAAACAGAAATTCCCCCAAAAACTGAATTTGAAAAATATTAATTTGGATTTTTGTTTCAAATGTGCATATTATATATTTTTTAAAACGTGTATTTTCTGCCCCGTCAATAGGAGCAGTGCATATTATATTATATTACATGCACTACTCAGAGTATCATTGTTGAAGAGCCCTACTGTTTTTGAATCATTAATGCAATGCTACTTCATTACGACACAAACGAAAGATGCTTTGCTCTAGAAAAAAACCCATTTCAGTCAGTACTAAGTGACGGCTACCCTTTCTGATGTAAAATGTAAAACATTTCAAACCTTATATTTGCCATGTCAACTATAATGGATGTCATGAAATAATGTGCACATAATATAAATGTGAGAAAATGCTCATAAGATACAATTCAAAGTGAAAGCTCACAATTTGAAAACAAATTTCAAAATTTTCCAAAATGAAAATTTTACTAACAGGATTTGTTTTATTAATTACAAAATATTTTCCCATGGAAATTTTAATTGGAATTGATTCAATTTTGCAGTTGGAAAGAGAGGTTTTTGTTGAAAAAGTTGGCCTGTAAAAATGGTTGTAACAATTTTCTGACCAGCTTTAATTAATGGTCGTGGAGAAAATGTGGAAAAAAGGATGTGGAGGCCAGTGCAGGCTCCTGTTTGTGCAGTGATCACAGCAAAGACCCGCTTTCACACACATTATACACGAGTCCTGCCACTTTTCTTCTGACCTGTGAGCCCTCTCCTTTACGACGCTTGTCTCATCCTGGGTCATCCATGGCTTGTAAGCAACACTCATTCCGTAAGTACTGAGTATTGTCATCCTAGTAGTTTAATTGATCCTCCCAGAAAAGTATTTATGGCAGAGCATTTTCTTTGCAGGGTCCCAAAGCTTGGACCCTCATTTTCTTGAACAGGGACCGAGATATCCCACCTACCAGAGGTAGGGACAGTCTTGGGGATAGCTCTGTCAGGCCTTGGGTCAGTACAGATGTAGTTAGGGATCTTCTGGAAGGGCTGGACATTTTTAAATCTGCAGGTCCGGATGCCCTCCACCCGAGAGTGTTGAGGGAGCTGGCAGGGGTCATCGCGGAGCCCTTGGCCCAGCTGTATGAGCATTTGTGGTCATCTGGCCAGGTGCCGGGGGATTGGAAACTGGCTAATATGGTCCCAGTTTTCAAGAAAGGGAGGAAGGAGGACCCAAGTAACTATAGGCCTGTATGCTTCACCTCGGTGCTTGGGAAGATCTTGGAGAGAATCATCAAGGAGCACATCTGTGGGGGGCAGCAAGTGAGATCATGCTCAGGGCAATCAGCATGGGTTCATCAAAGGCAGGTCCGGCCTGACCAACCTCATTGCCTTTTATGACCAAGTAACTAAATTCTTGGATGATGGTGTCGCCATGGACGTAGCCTTTCTAGACTTTAAGAAGGCCTTTGACACTGTCTCTTGCCCCATCCTCATCAATAAATTAAGCGACTGTGGCATTGACGCCTGCACAGTTGGATGGGTAAAAAGTTGGCTGATGGAGCATACCCAGAGAGTAGTGGTGGATGGGTTGTACTCAACCTGGCGAGATATGAGCAGTGGGGTACCCCAGGGCTCGGTCCTCGGGCCCGCACTGTTTAACATCTTCATCAGCAACTTGGACAAGGGGGTGGAAAGCACGCTGTCCAAGTTTGCTGATGACACTAAGATGTGGGGCAAGGTAGACACACTTGAAGGGAGAGAGAGGCTGCAAATAGATTTAGACAGACTACAAAAGTGCGCAGATGAGAATAGGATGGGGTTCAACGCAGATAAATGCAGGGTGCTGCACCTTGGGAGAAGGAATCCACAGCATACATACAGGTTGGGGAGTTCCCTCCTTGAAAGCACAGAGGCGGAAAGGAATCTTGGAGTCATTATTGACTCCAAGATGAACATGAGCCGCCAATGCCAGACTGCAGCCAGCAACACCAGCCCTACCTTGTCATGCATCCAAAGATGCATCTCAAGCCAGTCCAAAAAGGTGATCCTCTCTCTCTATGTGACATTAGTCAGG